CTGTATAGCAATATCTCCTGAATAAATGCTGTTGATTATTAAAAGCAAAAATAAGGAAATGATTGTTCTGATGAAGTGAAAATTGCACTTATTACAGTGTCTTGCAAGTTTATTTTGGGACACCAAAAATCCGATGTAAAAGGCTGCTATATGTGATCATTTTATGTATGCCCTATATTGCCTGGAAGCAATGTTAGTATATCCAAAGGAACTTAAAGACCTCTCAAGATGACTTGAAACAAAACCAGTCTAACAAGATGGTATGAAAACATTTATTTGGTGCAACAGTTGAATCAACGGTAGAAATGATTGGCACTGTTACTGGTGGAGCACTGATACAGCGCGCACTGTGCAGGTCTCAGCAACTGAAATGTTCTCTCCCTCTATTACATAATTGCAAAAATCCTTGCCCTTAATTGTATATTCTAAAGATAGATAATGCACTTATGTTGCATTCTAGCCTGATTTTAATAGGACACAGCTTTAGCTGTAGGGAGAGGAACATTCTTTTCCTTTAAGTATGTTAAATTTAATAAAATGACTCCTTCCTTAATGTTTAGATCAGGATCAGAGCTGTCCCAATCTGGGGATCTTAGATTTATGCTACTAATGGAGGCTTAACCAAATTTTATGTCAGGTTCTGGATTTGAACTCTTTCAAATATTGAGGGATTGATTGAATTTGAAGTTCCAGTACGAGTCCATGACACTTTCACATCTGAAGGCTCTCTTTGCCTTTAGTTTTCCTCATCTTTAAAATAAGGATAATGACGCAGACCTTTGTAATGTGCTTTGAGAACTCCATGGTGACAATGATGGATAGCAGAGCGGTTGTGTTTTTAGTAGGGATTTGCATATCTGCATGCTCTGAGGAGGAAGATGTTGTCCAGGAAATAAATCATAAATCAAGAAAACTCTCTTGATGGTGATCTTGAATCCAACCAATGAGCAAACTTGCCCTTTAATCAGTTTGAACGGTCTGAGAAGCAACACATTGTTCCAGGAAGAGCAGATCAACGCAATTCTTCAGTACTGCTGGACTGGTTGTACAGTTCATTAGAGAAGTCAGTGAAGATTGTGGAGGCTGTTCGTAGACTTTATGACACAATGTTGGTGTTTTGCTTCTGAGTAAGGAATCTGCAGCTAATCAGTTATTCACCCACTAAGATCCATATTATTCTGATGTATATTATTATTCAAAACAGTTAAAAATTTCCCAGCACCAACTGACTAGTCTGTCACCAGCCATAATGTCCCTATTCAACTGGCACAGACAGCCTTCTTATCAGTAGCACACAGCAGAGTGAGGTTGGGAACAGGCAGTACAGTGGTAGATAGGACAGGGAGCAGAAAAAAGAGCAACAGGTCAGGTAAGGACACTCAGGGAGGGTGTGGAGCTTATGTGCAGCATGTCTGCCATAAAGGTTGCCTCCCTACTACATTCTGTTCCTGATGGCATGGCTTTCATTGTTACTTAAAAGTTGCCAAAAATGTGATGTGGTGCCACAAAGAGTTTGAATGCTTTTATCAACCCTGAAATGCTTGAAATCTTGCAATTCTTGTATGTCTTTTGTTTTTCTTTATGCATTTATTAAAATTTTTTTTTCAATGAGCAATTTAACTAGTGTTGCTACATTACTTTTGATTTCTAGCAATAACTAATTGCCTCTAATTATGCGCGTGTGTATGGAAGCTGGTAGGCACTGGGTTCCCTGTTTTAGTACTTTCAGCAGATAACAGGGAGTCGGTGAATTTGTGAAGCAAGTCAAGGAGTCCTGGCTGAACTGCTGGAAGAAAAGGGAAACAGTGATCTAAAATGAAGAACTAGATGGAAACCCCAGTTCAATGATCTCAAATAGCTCCTGGTTGAGAAGGGAACCCAGGCTACAATGGTCAAGGGGCTTCACTGCACAAATGGGCCAAGTACAACATGGTATTGTTTTTCAGAATGAAACTTTTATTGTTGCAAATTCTCCTTCCTCAACCTAAAAGAAAAATGCAATCACATAAGTTTTTTCTTCAGAAAAAACTGTTGAACTATCCCAAGGTTGTTTTTTTCTTCAGTAAGACTAGTGTCTTTTTTCAGATGATTTTAAAGTCAACTGAATGGAGAACTATATGCTATATAAAGTAACACTGGTATTCTTTGGAACTGTGATGTAAAATGTATAGTTCAAGAATGAATCATTCAAGCTTCTGCCCTATTCTTTCATGGTTCTGTAGGCAAAAGACATATTGCAGATTGCTGCATAATTACAATAATGTCTTTGTTTATGTGCATGCTGATCATGTCCCACTTTACATTTGAGTCTAATTAACAGCATACTCTTATACATCACTTTTTTCTCAGAATGTCTCAAAGCACTTTCTTTGCACAGGAGATTGATATCATCATCCCCTTTTCAGAATGAGAGGAAAGCTTGAGGTAAAGGTACGACAGTTGTTTGCCTGAGGTACTGAGCCAGCCACTGACAAACCCAGGATTAGAACTAGGTTTCTTGAGTCCAGTTCATGGCCACTCCTCAGCCATCTGGATGCTGATCCACCTGCTCTGGTAAAAGATAAGCTTTGGGAATATCGCTTGTGACTTTCATGCTGTACACCAGATGTCAAGTTATGCTCAACTTTCACCGCAGTATCAACTTATCTAAGTTCACTTTTATGATGCTTAAAGTAATCTTCCTGCCCTGAAGAATCCATTAGTTATGAGCTCTGTTGGCAATGGTAGGTCA